AATGATTACCTAACCATAGTGACATTTTTTCACATCCTATCACACCAAAAAAAAGTAGCTAAATAATTCCTTCCAAGGTATACAATTGCAGAACATAAACTAGGCTTTCTGTATTAGAAGAAGTTCAAGTGGTAGAATCTAGGATATCGATTATAGGAAAAGTCCTTCTTTCTCTGGTTATTTACCAATCCTTTGGCTTTGTCCAAATCTCAGCTGCTCTTGCCTTTCCAGCAAACACTGAAGAGAAGCAGAAGCCTTGTAATCCCAGTTGTTAGTAAGGGTTGCATAAACATAAGGTTACATAAATCATCGGTGCAGCCCTGCAGATTCACCGTCCCGCTTGCCCTGTTCTAGAGGATTTCTGCTATGCAGGTACAAATGACAGCTGAGTTCATCCATGTGATATCTCCCCATGCCACCTGAAGACAAGGAAGACCCAGTTCAGTAAGAAAACATGTGTGGTTGTATGTACTGCAAGTCTGCATTAAGATAACACTGATAAGATTGGAAGGAATCGGCTAATTATGTTTTGTAATGTTATGTCCTGATTTCCTTCATGTTGATTGTATCCCTCTTTTGGCAGTAGTTTTCTCCTCCTATAGTATGAAGTAACCAGGTTCAGTTTCTGTAGCACTTACTTTTTTCCCTACAAGGTTTTGAGAGATTTATTTGATGCAGACCTTATATAGTACGTAGATCTAGGATACTTTAGCAGTTTTTTACGGTCATCTACTCAAGAAATGTTTTAAGTCAGTGATACCAACCCAGGCTCTTGAAGTCTTTAATCAATAGAAATTGAGAAGAAGCCAGATGAGAAATTCCAGCAAGACTTTATTGGGGCTCGTGCTGCAGCACGAGGGAACAAAAATAAGTATCATTTGCCCTTGCTCACTCCCCAAGGAAGCATAAGGTGGTTCCTTAAATGGGGTAACAACAGGGCAGCAGGTCCATGGGTGGTGCAGGAGGCGTGGCTTAAGTGTTCCACCCACCTTCTTGCTGTTGCTTTGTGTGGGAATCGTGTGCAGTACCCTGCCTTTGCTTTGGCAGCTCAGAAGTGGCAGTTGGTCTGTGTTCTTTTTGTATCTTTTTGTTTGTAATTACCCCAACCTTGCGTGCTTGCAGTTATTTTCAATCCCTTATAGTTTCTTTGCATTCTGTTGCTTGAGGAAATGTTTGTACAGATGCAAGCACTCCAGTAAAGGGTCCCACATCCCAGCCTATCTCATCAGTATGTGAAAAAATGAGTGAGAAAGTGATCAACTAACTGACATTTACAGTAATTGAAAAGGTTGCTTTATCATCATAAGTCGCCGACTCGAACCAAAAGAAATTCTCAGTGTGGTTGCCCCAGGTGAGGAAGAGCTTGGGCTGTCAAGTTACTACCCCTGAGAGGGATGTCTCATCCCTCCACTTTGTTTTAAACTTTCCTCCCCTCCTACTCTCTTCTCTGTGCCCTTTCCTGGGACCATTGGACACTATGACCAAATGCTTTCAAACATAGTGTTTGGAATAATGTAATGGCTCCAGCTTGTGTTTGTGCTTATCCTGAGAGATATATATATATTGTTATTATCCCCAGTTTATAAATGAGGAGCAAGACCTGGAGAGCATAAGTAACTTGCCCAAGGCCATGTGGCTAAAATAGGGTGGAGCTGAGTTTCCAACCCAGAGTGTGAATTGCATAGAACTCTAGACACATACACTGGACAGTTCCTACCAGGCCAGCTTGGGCACGCCTCCTCCCCTCACTCTCAGGCTGCTCCCCAGCCTGCCTTGACCTAGCCTCCTTAATAGTCTCTCTGCCGAGCTGGACTTCAGTGGTTCTATGAATGTGAGCTCCCTGCTCACCTGGCAATTCTTTGCTTTTCCTTGTCCCACCTCCCTATCCCAAGTCACCAGTAATGCTTTCAGATCTGAGGCAGCTCACAATGTCTGGCAGGTCATGCCTGTAAGTGACAAGTGGATTTAGGTCACTGGGCACCATTTATTCCCTTCATACCTAAGCAAAGGGCTTTCTTAGAGCAGAATACATTGATCATTCTGGAATATATCTGGAATCAGCGTCCATTTATTGATGTCCACCGTGGTCCACCACCACCTCTTGCTGGGTTATTATAGAATTCTCTTAATTAGGTGTACAGTCTCCAGTCTTGCATCTCCCTGAGTCCATCCTTCACCCAAAGCCAGGTGTTTCTATGCATACGTTTGATTTTCAATCCCCTGTTTAAGACCTTTGTGACTTCCTATTGCCCTTAGGATAAAGAATCATCCTTTTAGCTTATAAATCCATAGCTGATCTGGCCTTTGCTGGCCTCCCTAGCCTTGTCTTTCCCTGGGCTTCATGCCCCTCACACTCCCCATCCAGCTTTCAGAACTTATTTCCATTTCTCCAGGAAGCATGGCTTTCTCTTGCCTCTGAGCCTTTGCACATGCTGTTCCATGAGTCTCCCTTTGTGCCTCCACTGTACATCTCCCAGGCATGGTGCTTGCCTGTCTACTCACTTTCCTTCACCACTGTAGTTGTGCATTTACTCATGATTCTAGTCTTGGAGTGTCAGCTCAATAAATGTCTCTTGTATGAATGAATGAGAGTTTCCCACTCCATTTTAATTTTTAACATTAATTTGCATCTGTCCATTTCCCATATTCATTATTTGGTCTTGCCAGTATTACTAACTCAACTTCAGCTATCTTTTCAAATGTTTTATTTTTCATTTTTTTCTTCTAACCTTCTCTCCTCTCACTCTTTGTATCCTCCCTCCTGAAGACATTTTGGCTATGTTTTAATCTAGTCTTTATGGTTACCAGCATAGCAACCCCACGCTGTACATACCCATGTTCACTAGGGTTGTTGAAGAAAATGACTGCAGATTTTAGTGCTTGCAGGGTCCTTCTGTAGCAGCCTGAGCCTTGCTTGGGCTGTGTTTACCAGCAACACTGGGAAGGATACAAGAGCTTTGTGTTTGTTGCACAGCGTCTTAAAGGGATAGAATTTTTCTCTCAAATAAGTGTTGGTGTGAGCAGGAGCCAAGAGGGAAACAGTGTGTGATGGGCAGTGGTTTTGAAGCAAACAGGAAATCATGTAAAGTAAAAAATGATCTCTAAGAAGAAAATGTTTCCTTCTTAAAATGATTCATATTTTGGATATAGCTCTAGATTTTCTTAGCATGTTCTGCTTTCTTCCTGCCTTTGTGGTTGTAGCAGAATGGCTGTTGAAGTTGCCCAATTAATAGCTACTGTTTTTTTGTTGCTTTGTACTTCTTCCAGAGGTTACCCTGAAGGTCCACGTCAGTGATGCCAGCACCCATCAGCCCATCCCAGATGCCCTCATTGAGATTTTCACCAACCAGGTCTCCGTCGCCTCTGGCACCTCGGGGACAGATGGCATTGCCTTCATCAAATTCCAGTATAAGCTGGGCAGTCAGCTGATTGTCACCGCCACGAAGCACGCCTACGTACCAAACTCTGCCCCGTGGAAGCCAATCCGGCTACCCGGTAAGGTGGTCTTAACCTTTCTCTAAAACAGGGCTCGTGGTCAGACTAGGGGTGGAGTCAGATACAGAAACAATTTTGTAAGTCAGACTATCAGGAGAATACTTGTTCATTCTCTGCCTTATCTCTTGGGGCCCCTTATGTGAAGGAAAGGTGGGATCCTGGTACGAAGCTGATTGGGGCTTTGTGTTACTAGATGAACAGTGGAACCGAAGCCTTTTCTGCTCATCTCCCCATCTCCATTCTGAACCTTACTGATTGTAACTAGCCAGGGGAATTGGGGCAGTGCTCTGGAATGAGGCTTCCTCATCTTGCTTTAGGGGCCTGAGAGCAAGGCTGGCCAAAATATGGGGAATGATGGCGAGACTGTCTTTCCCACCTTCTTACCTGCTAAGGAAGAACAATCCTGTGTGTTTCCTCCACTCTCAATACTCCCCTCCACTTTGGGCACTTCTTATCACCAAATGTGTGCGGATTTTTCCACACATCAAGCAATTTGCAGACTCTGTGACACCAGCAGGGTACTTACTTAATAGATTCCCAGCCTGTTACAAAGGCTACTAAAGGCATAGCTTTATGGAAGAGAGGTGTAGGGCAAGGTATGTGGAAGGGGCATGGAGCTTCCATGCCCTCCTCAGGTGTGCCACCCCTCCAGCACCTCCAAGTGTTCACCAACCAAGAATCTCACTGAGCCCCATCTTTTTGGGTTTTTATGGAAACTTCATTATATAGGCATGGCTGATTAAGTCATTGGTCATTAGTGTTTGATTCAGCTTCCAGGCCCTCTCCGCTCCCTGGTGGTCAGGGGGATGAGACTGAAAGTTCCAATCCTCTAATCACATGGTTGGAATCCCTGGAAACCGGCTCCCATCCTTGGATTATCTAGGGGCTTTCCAAAAATCACTGTCTTAACTTAAACTCCCATTAAAAGGGACTTGTTATGAATAACAAATGGTCCTTTATTGCCCATATCACTTAGGAAATTCCAAGGGTTTTAGGAACTCTGAGTCAGGAATGAGACCAAGACCAAATATATCTTTCTTATTATAAATCACAAGATCATGTTACCATTCACCACTGAAAAGCCATCAGTCTACCACAAGGGGCAAGGATGGTGCCTGACCATGGGTTCAGCTGGGGATGGTGGAGGTGGAGAGCAGCAGCTGGTGCCCTCTCTGTCCCATAAATTCAGGCTCCGTCTTATGCCTGGACCACATTTTCTTCAGGCACCATTGCTGCCAGGGTGGTAGGGGTTGGGGGAGCGTAGGCCTTGGAAACGAACTTACCTGGGTTCTGGCTCCAAATATGTGCTCGAGCCCCTCTAGCTCTGATGCCCATCTGTGCAAGATGGAGCTGATACCACCTTGTAGAGTGATTCTGGGTTTAAAAGTAGTCAACAAAGGTGCACCAGCTTTCAGTGCCTAGTAGGTGCTCAATAAATATACAGCACCCAGCACAGTGCCTGGCAAAATACCAACATTAGTGCTCATGTCTGTGCCCCTGGACATGCCCCATCAGTGTCCGTGCTGCCACTGGGGACACATGGGAGCTAAGTGTGACTGTGCCAGTCTTATCCAGCCCCAGAGTCTACCCTCATTCACAAAATTCTCTTTAGTTCAGTTTATACTTATTAAATGCCTACTATGTGCCAGACACTGCCCTGGCCATTGAGAATACAGATCTAGAAACTCAGAACTTGCCCCTACGGAGTTTATCATCTAGTTATAAAGTCAGCCACAGAAGCCAATTCCTTCGAATGGGATAACTGCTTTGATAGATTTATGTGCATGTGGACGTAGGGGATGCTGGGGAGGAACAGTTAGCCAGCGAGATGAGTGAATGAAGGCTTCCTGGAGAGGCTGAGAGGGGATCTGAGTCTTGAAGATGAATAGATATTAGCATCAGAAGGTGCTTGTGAAAACATACAGATTCCAGGACTCAGTCGTTCAACTGGGGAGATTGACCCAGGAGTGTGTATTTCAAAAAGCATCTCCTACCCCTCCCAACCCCGCTGGACATCTATGGATAAAAATGTTCACTAAATTTTGTGACCACTGCTTTGAGAGTTATGGAAAGTGAATTTGAAGTAGGTACAACTGAAGAAGTCCTTTAGGAAAATTTTAGAGAAAAAAAGAGAAATCTGAGAAATACTCAACCCACAAAATCCCAAAAGCCTTGGAGAATGGATAGAAAGACATGGGGGAAAGGATGAATTAGAACAAATGTAAGTTGAATCTCAGGTTTCTGGCCAGTGATAGTGGGTAGAATAACAGATGGGCACTGGCTTGGGAGACCTGCCACCCTGTGGGTCCCTAAACTTGACTCCATTAATGCTGTAGGTTGAAAGACCCTTTTCCTCCCTCCCTGTGTGCCTCCCTCTCCCCAGGCTTGAGGCCCAGGCAAAGATGGATGGAAGTAGGGGTGGAGGTGGGGGAGACAGGAGAAAGGGAATGAGTGTTGGGGTCACCACTGATGATGAATTTAGCATAGATTGGATTTGAGCTGCCTGTGGGATGCCAAGGGTGTCGGCCTTTAGTTTGCAAAGAGTTTGGAACTTATACGATTCAGAGGTGGAGGTGTATTTTGAGGTCATTATCAGCACTGAGGGGAGGCTCCAAACTGTGAGCTCCCCCAGAGAGTGGAAGGGAGTGCGCCTGGGTCATAACCCTGAGGAGGCCAGCACAATAGGAACGATGATCCTTACTAAGTTACAATGAAAGAAAATGTTTGACCACCCCCATTTTTCACACCAAAAATAAATCACTGGAAACAGCCCAGAGCAGGGAGGAAGGGGTGGAGTTTAAATGGTATCCACACACCACAGCTCCACCTTTGCTGGAGGGCAGCAGCACAAAATACCACTGATTCTGTCCCGGTAGCTAGGTTCCCCAAAGTCACCAAGAACATTGAATTCATGAATCCCGAGTCATCTCTCCCAAGGGGAAATGCAGGGTTAGGTTCCTGAAGGCCTCCAGTCACAACACTTTCATCAACCGATCAGAACATCACCTTGTTTTACGTGTCTTTCTGTTTGGAGATGCCTGACTCAGTATTTATCAGTGGTTCCCGAACATTGCACCATAAACATTGTCTGAGTGAAGCTTGTCTCATGTGTGTTTCTGCCCTAAGGCACACCCCAGCCTTCAGGAAGGCCGGACAGCACTTCAGCACAACTCTTGGGGGCCATTTGAAATAGCGAAATCACCAACAGAAAATACAGCAGTGCAAAAACTTGGCGTTAAATAGGCGTCAAAAAGGACCCTGGCAGTCTGAGAGCTGAAACAAGAAGGCAGAGCGTGGCCGGGTTTGACCTCAGCTGGAAACATGCATGTCAGGAACTCAGATTTTTGGCCATTCTGCACATGTGCACAGAAGGCATCATGAATGTTGATTTGAGAGTTACAGAGACTTTAGTGAGTAGACACATGCAAATACTCAATCCACAAATAAGGATCTGCTGTGCTGTAGTTACGTTCACTTTGACTTTGTTAATATGATCGTTTGGGAAAAGCAACCATTTTCATCGTACACATTTTTTTCTTAAATGAGTAAATAATGGTTAAAATGTTGTTTAATTCAAAGAATTTCGGACTAGGCCTGAAGGCACCTGGGTTCTAGGCCTGCCCGCCCCCAGCTATCCCCACACATGTAAGCCCATCACAGCTTTCTGAGCCTGAATCCTTTCTAAAACTAAATCAATTAGACTGAATACACTTCAAGGACCCCCCCACTCTTTCTTTTTCCTGTGTGCCTTGTCCACATAACGAGATACCCGTCTGTGCTTGTCTGCACTGTTATCCTTACTGTTCTCTCTGCA